AATGTGAAGGTAACCTTATAATGTGAGATGAATTCCCCCATCTGCTGGTGTAATAGCGGTAGTGAGGAGAAGGTTTTATTGATGGGTGTATAATGTATGTGTCACACTGTGCACCAGCTCTCAGAGCACAGAAGTACACAGCAGAATCAGACACGGCCGTGTTAGTTATAGTTAAGTTGGTAGTGGACCTGCTGGTCTCAGATTCAAATTTTCCAATCTGGAAATCTCCATCATGTTTCATAGAAGACACACCACCGGCTCCACGATAAAGAATATACTGCATCTGGTCGGCATTTTGTTTATACCAGAACAGATAGGGCTGACTGCTGCTGGTGGAATAATTACACCTTAATGTCACAGTCCTCCCAGCTTCACTAGACATGTGTGCCAGATCTGATTGTATAGAGTTCCCATGGACAGGACCTGTGGAAGGAGAACATCAATGTAAATAATAACACAACATATTCAGAAATAACAAGATTCAACTATATGATAACTAACACATAGAGGTATTATGAGTATATAAAATAAATATGTACTAGCAGGTTTGAACATTTTAACAAAGATACTTACATAAAAGTAAACAAATTAGAAAAATCAGAACTGGCCAATGAAGGAAGGACATTGTGCATATCACTGTTGAAAAAGGATACAACTGATACAAATGTACACACTGAGCTCTTAAATGCCATCTCATGAAATATGACAGGCCCTTCAAATCTCCTCCTACTCTTCACTATATTTGTGTCCCCCCAAAAAAGATACTTCTCTGCCATCTGGTGGCCATTGCTCTGTACTCACTTTATTAAGGTTTAAACCAACTGGGATGATGTAGCCCAGGGGTGTTACAAGTAACGACTGGTTCAGTGAATATATATTCATGAGCACCAACTGCTGGCTAGGTTCCTGCACACATGTCAGTGAGAAGGAAACACAATGCATTCCATAATAGAAGTCCCCAGCACTAGATGATGTGTTCAAGTAATAAAGCACTTTTTATTAAATTGTCACATGTGTCATACAGCCAACGTTTTGGGGCCACGCCGGGTACCTTCTTCTGGGCGACATAGGTCACTGCAGGAGTGGGAGGCAGTGGCAGTGGGAGGAGGCAGCTGACAGATTCCCTGTGATGAGTGTCCAGAGGGACACCTACCTGAGGGAGCGGGCAGTTCTGTGCTGCTCTGTTGCCTGCACTAATCTCTCCCCTTGGTAATCATTTCCTTATCACAGGGAGGAGAGGAGAAGAAGTAATACAATGAGCTCCCATAGTTCTCTGTATCAATCCATGCACAGTAACAGCATGACAGGTGTGTGCTGTCACTATGTGATATGTGTCTAATAAACAGAGGTCTCTGAGGGACCTTTATTTATTAGGTACACTGAGTGCACACAAATATACATGGTACGGTGCCCTGCACTGCGCTATGTATGCTTTATCAGGCAGAACATGTACATTATAATTCAATTATTTACACATTTATGTTAAAGGAAATTAAAACCAAAAATGGGTCTGCCATTGTTGACCCCCCTTCTAAGAAAACGAATTGCCTGGCTGCTTCTGGCTCTAATATTTCGGAGTCAGTTGCTTAGAACCATCATACAGAGTAAAAGATACTTGTTCCAAGTCAGTGCCTCAGAAAGTATCATATTGCTATTGAAGATACAAAGCTAAGTTTATTATGTTGTTTTCCTATTTTTTTATAACACAAGATTACAATTTAAAAGGAAATCCAAAGTAAATGTCTCCGTGTCCACACCAATAACAGTAAAAAAAAAAAGAAAAAGAGTAATTAGACAAAAATTAGATAAGGGGAGTGGAGGGAGGTGGGGACTTGTTTGAAATTCCACAAACCTGAACCTAGAGATGAATCCCATTTAATTTGATTAGTAAATTCCAGACCAAAAGTAAACTATTATCAATAATGCATGGAGAACTGGGCACTGCAAAGGGGGACATGCACCAGTGCAAAAAAGCAGCAATGTTTCATTTTTCACTAAACAGTAATAGGCTGCTTTGGCTAGCAAATAGCAAGACATTCAGACATTCAAACTCTCAATAAAAAATAAAGAGACTGCAGAGGATACAGCAGCTTCCAACTGCAGGACAATTTTATTCAGGGTAATAGGCCTAATCGGTGTATGCCTAACTGTTAATATTACTATGGGGGATACACATTATTCTTGCGCTTAGTTTTTTTAGTTAAGTACAGTAGTTAGGTACAGCAGTATTTTGAGCCCAAGCTGTGTAATGATGCTGCCCCTAGAGATGTGTTCATATGGCCTAAGCTGAGAGGAAGTGGGTTGAATGATGCTGGTAGACTAGTGACAACTAGTGGCAGAAAGCAGTTACTGTGGTGGAGAGCTCTAGATTGAAGGTGAGTATTGCAGCAAAAGTTGTTTTATTATTTTCTGCTGTTCGTGGGCTATTTATTTCTTAGTTTATTTCTTTACGTGGTGTCCTGCTTTAAACTGTTCACCCCTTAGGTCCCTGAAATACAATAGAATCTGATTGGTTTGTGGTGCTAGCATTCTGACCTTTGCCTGATTTCTGGTATGATTTGGAGTATAGAAAGATTATAAACGTGATGATAGTGATTGTGGCTGGGGTGAGGTCAATGGCACCACAGCCACACACCCCTCCCCTCCCCCCCAGTCACTTGTGCTATAGCCCGCACCAGAACGCGCGGGACAACAATACCAGTGTTCTCCGGTCCAGTGCGATCACAAAAAATACTGTTTGTACTATTTTTTGTGATTGCACTGGACCGGAATGCAGGCACTGTTGGGCCATGCATTTTGGTGCAGGCGATCGCGGAGGGCGTGGCTGCTGTGCCATTGACCGCACAATAATGCAGGGGGCTTTTTGTATGCAATGCAGCTAAGCGCACTGGAGCACGCTGTAATTGGTGTAAACAATCCAAAGAGGTGAGAGGCTACAGGTCACATTTAATAGTAAACATTACAGAATAATAAATAAAGACACAGACAGCCAGATATTGGCATAATAATGGCTGCTGTATTTTATTGGTATGAATAAATAAATAAACTTTATTAACCTTAAATTAAAATTGACCAATTAGTAACATTTTTTAAAACCAACTACTTGCCCAGTCATTACAACTCGAGCAAAATCAATCATTTAAATGTATAGTCCCCCTCATGAATGAGGTGACAGACCACATAAAAGCTGCGACTAGGGAGGGAATGAGGGAGGGGGCTTGCTGAGCTGCGATCCGCACAACTGGTGCTGAATCCCCTGAGAACCTTCCTTATACAGGGGTGAGCTGCAGAAAGTTCCAGAAGTCCTTGAGGAGAGATTTTTTCCACCTAAACCTCCTGGATCTTCTGAAGTGATTTAAAGAGCCAGTATCCTGGAAAAAAAAGCAAAGCAAAAGACAACAAAAAACAATTGTGAGTCTCCGCAATCCCATGGAATGAGCACCTTATAGATGCTCTTTATTTGCAGGATTGCTGATAGAGACAACAGGTGGGGTTGGGTTTCTGTACTGGAGGGTCAATCTCACTTGCCATGCATTCTTTTAACAAATACATTCACCAGTGGTGGCAGCAGCAGCAAACCTGGAAAAGCAGTTGTGAATAGCAACATTGTAGTCCCCTTACTGGAAAGAGTGCTATTAAATTTAGTGATTGCCAGATTGTATGTGGTCTGATACTAATTTATAGTCTGGTTCATTTGGCTTTCCCCTAAACAATCTGTCATTGCTTGCCACCTGTCTGCTACTAGAGGTACTGCAGGGTGCTCCCTGGTCACAGAACATAGCAACCATTGGGATTGCTATAAGTGGATATCCCTCTCCACCCAATCATTGTTAAACGATGGCCAGTGGTGCATGATGGGGGAGGAGATAAATACTTGGGGTGGACCATGTGAGCTCTCTCCTCCTCCGCCGGGCCCTGCCCGTGCGGAGGCTGCACTGGACTGTCTGAGCTGGCTAGGCCTGAAGCCTGTGAAATAGCCATGGGACGACCCTGGCACCTGGTGACAGCAGGTCCTGTGGTTACTACTAAAGACAAGGATCAGTAACTTCTATCTCAAGTATTGCTGTGTCAGGTGTTCGACCTGCTGTGCATGGAAACAGTAACCACAATCTGAAAGAAATGGAGTTTACATCTGCCTGGATGATCCTAACCCTTCTCCTCTCTCCCTGAAGTTCTTCAATAAAAGTTCCAAGCATCATACCTACAGTCTGGACATCACTTCAATCGGGGAAGGGGGGGCGCTACAACATCATCAATACCAGCTAACATCATACACCTCACCAAAGAGAAGCGGTTCCAGCCATCACATTAGGGGTGAGTTACTTAAATGTTTCACCAAATATAGCACGCTTGATAATTTCGTATGGCCCTGAAATGATGTTATAAATATCCAAATGGCTCTTGGCAGGACAAAGTTTCCCCACCCCTGTTCTATTGAGTATACGTAATCCAGGGAACTCAAGTCTCCCTGATGTTCAGGGAGTCTCCCTCTATTAGATAGCGGCTCCCTGACGTCCACGAGAGAGGCATTTTCTCCCTGAAATGTTTACTCTGAGTAAACCTTTCCGGTAAGATATCAGGGGGTAAAGTTTCAGAGTGAGGCTTGCCTCCTGGAGGAAGGTCATGTGATCTCTAGAGTAGCCTCAGAACGAGGCTTGGCTCTAAGAAGGAAGAAGCTACTTGCTGCACAGAGAGGGCGGACATAGACTACTATTGAGAGCAGGTCCAGGCACTGCTGCAGGGTTGAGAGAGTGCTGTTAACCCTTTGTGGATAATATATAATCAATTATATGTCCTGGTTGTCTAGTTATAGAGAACATTTATTTCATTTGCTGCCCATAGACAACAAACTACAATTTGCTATTTTCCAGGTTTTGCTGCACATGTCACAAATGATCTTCAATTTAGCCACACTGTGTTGAAGATTTGGCACATGTTGAGTTAGCACCACATGTCCACTGAAGAAAAAATTGGATCAAATACAGTTTATTGGCCACACTTTATTGATTTATTTGCTGTTTTCCCCTCTTCACACAGATAAAACAATGGCTGAGGATCCCTCCAATGTGTGTGGTGCAGCTGCTCAGTGTGAGGTTTATGTCAGAGCTCAGCTGGTCTGTGTCACACTGTGCCGCCTGCAGAGCACACACATAGCTGGCTGAGTCCTCTGTCTTCACATCACTTATGGACAAGTGTGTAGAGTTTCTTGTCACCTCACATGAGAACTTTCCCCCAGCAAATGGAGCTGCATTGGAGAAGCTGCCCTGGTTGGCTTTATGTAGAATGTACTGTGGAGCTGTTCCCGGATAATGATGGTACCAGTAGAGGTAATATGCTGATGAATATGAGGTGCTGTAAGAGCAGGAGAGAGTCACGTTCCTTCCTTCTTCACCCAACACCTGAGGATCTGCCATGTTAATAGAATCTCCCAAAACCTTCACTGCAAGACCAGACAATGCTGTCATGTGATGTCCATCCCATCATCCAACATCCAGACATTTCAATAATGGTGCAAAAATAAAACCATATATAAGCGTATCATCAATAAGTGCAATAATCTGATATCATCATGAAAAAGGTAAAACAGAACTCAATTGTTATTCAGTAAAATATTCTGTACACAATCCAGTTCTAAAGCCATGTAATTTATCAGGACACATAAAGTATATAATAAAATGTATTACATTTTCCAGCAGTTACTATAATATTAATAATGCTATACACAGAGCATAGAAATAGTATTACCTAAAGAACAGTCCAGTGTAATGAGAATGAAGTGAGCAGCTTTCTTCATGGTTGTAGATGACTCTGTACAGAGGAGGTGAAATACATACAGTGTATTAGGTGTGATTATGGGGGAAGGTGAGGAGGAGACATGATTGCTCTCTCTCTCTCTCTCGTGCGCTCTCTCTCCTTGCTCTCTCCCCTGTATCTCTCTCTCTCTACTGTCTCGCTGTGGGCCGGTTCACACCACAAAGTCTGCGTTCCACAGCATTCAGCCTCTGGAACGCACTGGAATGCAAGCCGGCCGGCTCCCTGCGTTCAGGGGGCGGGAGGGGGCGTGGTGGTGCATTGAAGTCAAATGCTGCAAGCACTATTTTAGCAGATCGCAGTCGACCGGAATGCAGGCACTAATGTGCCTGCGTTCCATGTGCGGGAGATCGCACTGCGGGGGCGTGGCTGTGGTGCCATTGACTTCAATGCACCACCACGCTCCCTCCCGTCCCTGAGCGCATGGAGCCGGCCGGCTTGCGATCCAGAGGCCGAACTCCTTTGTGGTGTGAACCGGCCCTCTCTCTTGGCTGTCTCTTCTCTCTCTCTCTCTCTGCTGTCTCTTCTCTCTCTGCTTTCTCCTCTCTCTCTTTCTCTCTCTCTGCTCTCTCCTGGCTGTCTTTCCTTACCTGCACTACAGCAGCTTCCTGGCTCTTCTCTCACGTGCGCCATCCTGTCCTCCCGCGCTGCTCGTGTGGCCGAATGTGGCCGACGCTGCACATGGGGAGATGTGTCCCGCCCCTTCCCGTCTGCAGCGTTTGACACGTTCAGCCGCACTCGCACCGCGGTTAGGGAGCTCAGGTCAGTAAGCCGATCGCGATCTACCAGTGTTCGCTTTGCAATCGACTGGTAGATCGCGATTGACCTAATGGGCACCCCTGGTACAGAGGAACCCTGCAGTAATTTTATATGGTCCATTGTCTCATTGCTCCTTTTCCTTATTTCCTTAATATATATACATGGAATTGGTTGTCCATATATTAGCCGAATTCCTTTATTAGAAATAGGATACATTATATAGGCTAAACTGTGTTTACTAGGAAACCCCAAACCAGAGGATGTACCCTCACCATCCTGGTAGGTAGGAACTCTGTAGGGTGAAGCAGTGCTGGCAAAGGGGATTTCTGTAGGGTAAAGCAGTGCTCACAAGGAGGGTATCTGTAGGGTAATGAGGTGCTTACAAAGGGGGCCTCTGTAGGGTGAAGCAGTACTCACAAAGGGAGTCTCTGTAGGGTAATGCAGTGCTCAGGGGTCTCTGTATGGTAAAGCAGTGCTCACAAACTGCATTGTGTCCTGCAAAGTCAGATTCTGGTTGGTCATTGGTAACTACTGGTATTGGGCAATACACACTGCATCACCCTACAAAAATGTTGTAAGTTTTGACAGTAACTAACAGTGTCCCCATTGAAAATATCACTGTGTGTGGGCCCCTAACATGTGACTGCAGAAAAACACATAGCTAATAACTCCCCCTAAAACTCCCCTATGTTTGCTCTACATTTAAGTGTTTCTTCATATGAAATGGTCCTATTATCAAATAATTATGGGACCTGTACTTCTCTACCCATCCCTCTACTGAAAAGATGTGGCTGTACTCCAGGTGTCAGTGAGCAGCTCCAAGGTTGAGGTTGATATAGTATATACTAGGCCAGTATTACCAAAAATACCCTTATCCTTTATGATTTAAAATTTTTGGATAGTGGGGAAAGGTTAGACCATCTGCCAGATCGTTATCTGCTGTCTGATTCTCCATTGGGAGATTAAGCCCTCCAATTGTACTGATGGCCATTGTCACCGAGAAAGAAAGTGAGAAGCAGAGGCGGCTCTTTAATTAGGCACATTAGGCGGTCGCCTTAGGCCTCGCGCTCCCGAGGGCCTCGCGGCCGCCTACTTTGCCCTGCCGTTACATTACCTCACAGCCAGGTAACGTCATGAGCTCTTAGCCCTGTCGCTGTCAAACGGAGACTCTCCGTTTGACAGCGACAGGGCTGAGAGCTTATCTGTTTCCTCGGTCCGTCCATTCGGCCAGTGGTCCTCTGGAGCTCCGCCCACCAGCCCTGGTGAGACATCAGGCTGGCGAGACCCGACAAAGCCATGGTGTGAGCCCTGGGGAGACCCTACGGAGCCCTGGTGCTGGTGAGACCCCACATCACCCTGGTGAGATCCCACAGAGCCCTGGGGAGACCAGGGCTCTGTGGGGTCTCACCAGGGTGATGTGGGTGGGACCCCATAGAGTAGACCCCCACAGAGTCCTGCTACCCTGGTGAGGTTTAACCAGGGCTCTGTGGGGTCTCACCAGGGGACTGAGGGGTCTCACCAGGCTAGTAAAACCGCACATAGCCATGGTGGGACCCCATAGAGCCCTGGTGAGACCCTTCGGAGCCCTGGTGCTGGTGAGACCCCACAGAGCCCTGGGGAGACCAGGGCTCTGTGGGGTCTCACCAGGGGACTGAGGGGTCTCACCAGGCTAGTAAAACCGCACATAGCCATGGTGGGACCCCATAGAGCCCTGGTGAGACCCTTCGGAGCCCTGGTGCTGGTGAGACCCCACAGAGCCCTGGGGAGACCAGGGCTCTGTGGGGTCTCACCAGGGGACTGAGGGGTCTCACCAGGCTAGTAAAACCGCACATAGCCATGGTGGGACCCCATAGAGCCCTGGTGAGACCCTTCGGAGCCCTGGTGCTGGTGAGACCCCACAGAGCCCTGGTTAAAGTAGGGCTCTGTGGGTTCTCACTATTCCTGGTTAAACCCCACAGAGCCCTGGCAAGAATCCTACAGAACCCTTGTGTTGGTGAGACCCTACAGAACCCTGGTTTAACCAGGGCTCTGTAGGGTCCCACCAGGGCTCTTTGGGGTCTCACCAGGGCTCTCTGGTTATCCCACCAGCCTGGTTAAACCCCACAGAGCCCTGGCAAGAATCCTACAGAACCCTTGTGTTGGTGAGACCCTACAGAACCCTGGTTTAACCAGGGCTCTTTGAGGGGTCTCACCAGGGCTCTGAGGGGTCTAACCAGGCTGATAAGACCCCACAGAGCCCTGGTGAGACCCTACAGAGACCTGGGTTATTCAGTGCTCTGTGGGATCTCACCAGGGCTCTTTGGGGGTCTTAATGGGGCTCTGTGGGGTCTCACCAGCCTGGTTAAACCCCACAGAACCCTGGTGAGACCACAGAGGCCTGAGCGGGGCCTCATGTTTAGGTTTCGCCTAAGGCCTCGCAAACTCTAGAGCCGCCTCTGGTGAGAAGACATCCAAATGTTTAAAGATGTCCCCGGAACAGGACATGAGGGAAAATCTTCTAATGGTGACACCTGTTCTGGGTGATAACATTCTTAGATACGTATCCCCTCAATTTGGGAGATTTCCATTAGTTTTCTATTGTGTTCTATTTCCTAGTGTGTCTCTGGGTCAGGAAGTGAAGGGAAATTCCTCCAATGGTAAAGATTTCAGGCTACATTTACATATTTGCATTATTTATGAAGCATGGTTCATCCAAGCTGTGTTTTGTCATTACGTGTTTTACAATAATATCTCTTCATCCCTATAGAAGATGTTATTTTGCTGGAAACAACACCAAAGATGCAGCGAGCAGGATTTGTGTTTCAAGCACGGCACTAAAAGTCATAAATGTGAAGGTAACCTTATAATGTGAGATGAATTCCCCCATCTGCTGGTGTAATAGCGGTAGTGAGGAGAAGGTTTTATTGATGGGTGTACAATGTATGTGTCACACTGTGCACCAGCTCTCAGAGCACAGAAGTACACAGCAGAATCAGACACGGCCGTGTTGGATATAGTTAAGTTGGTAGTGGACTTGCTGGTCTCAGATTCAAATTTTCCCATCTGGAAATTTCCATCATGTTTCAGAGAAGACATACTTCTGTAAAGAATATACTGCATCTGGTCGGCATATTGTTTATACCAGAACAGATAGGGATCATAGCTGCTGGTGGAATAATTACACCTTAATGTCACAGTCCTCCCAGCTTCACTAGACATGTGTGCCAGATCTGATTGTATAGAGTTCCCATGGATAGGACCTGTGAAAGGAGAACATCAATGTAAATAATAACACAGCATGTTCATAAATAACAAGATTCAACTATATCATAACTAACATATATACGTCTTATAAGTACATAATATAAATATTGACTAGCAGGTTTCATCTGGACATTTTCACAGAGATACTTACATGAAAGGAACCAAATTAGAAATAACTGTACTGGCCAATGAAGGAAGAACATTGTACATATCCCAGTTGGAAACTGATACTTAAAGGATACAAATGTACACACAGAGCTTTTAAATGCCATCTCATGAAATATGACAAGCCCTTCAAATCTCCTCCTCCTCCTCCTCTTCTCTGTTTGTTATTCCATTTCCTTCCTAAAAAAGTATAAAAAGAATAACAGAGACTTCTCTGCCACCTAGTGGCCATTGCTCTGTACCCCATACTCCTGTGGGGGATGTAGCCCAAGAGTATTATAAATAGTGACTGGATGATAGAATAAAATGCACACATGTAAGAGATCAGAGAATAGTGTGTGTACATCTCACAATAGCCCAAACTGTGTGCAACAAGGACTGCAATACAATGGCTGCAGTGTGTTATACATTTATCACAACACAGTGATATGAAACA